TTTAGGTTTGGAATACACAGCCGAGTTTGACAGACAACACCTTTTCAGAAATGGCTATTGTATAGGCGATAAAACCAGTGTTGAGCCGACACTGGGGTAAACAGTAAACAGTCAGAGGCCGCTATTAAACTCTTCCGCGTCTATTTTCTGAACGTTTAGGGAGCAGGGGCCTTTGAAGTCTTCGCTAAGCTACCATTCTCTTTATCACCTCGTTGGCTTTAACTATTGCCTGACTCTGGTCATTGTTGACTGTCTTCGAGTTTAAGGTGTTCTGTTAATTCGAAAGATGAAGACAGTTCTATCCTCTGCTATTCGCTTTAGAGGAACAATCAGCAATTAGGTCTATCACATTGAATGATAGATCGCAACAGTATCTGACCATCTACATAAGGGAAGGGAAGAACGACAACTTGTCATTGACTATTAAATAGTTATATTTAATTTTTTATTAATTTGAAAAATTTTACCAGATTAATTTAACTAAGGAGAGAGCTCCATATTTACTGGAGAAGCTACTGCGATCATGAAGGCCCTCCATTGGATATCAAATTCCAATGACAACCAATGGATGATAGCATCAGACTCCAAAAGCGTCATGGCAGCAATAGGTAACCCATTGCCAAGCAATTCAATAATAAGAGAGTGATCTTTTTCTGGGTTCCATCTCATAGTGGTATCTCAGGCAATGAAAGAGCAGACCAAGCAGCTAACTTAGCAAGGAAGAGAGAGGCACCAACCATAATTTCAATAAACTGTACCACAGTAGAAGACTGGGTACATGCAACAAAAAAGAAGTTGTTGGAAAATTGGGCAAATAGATGAAAAACTAAACAGTCAAAATTATCAGAAATAAAAACAGAGTGCAACAAGTGGGCTACTAGCACAAGAATATCCAGAAGAGAAGAAACCATATTGTTTATAATAAGAATTGGTCACTGCCTGTTTACTCACGGCTACCTTCTCAGAGGACTAGAAGCACCCACGTGCCAAAAGTGTTACAATAAACCGCAGTCAGTAAAACATCTTTTAGTAGAGTGCCACGAGTTCAACAACATTCGGCAAAAATTGAAACTACCAATGACAATGAAAGAAATATTAAGAGACAACGAAGATGGAGTCACCACCCTATTCCGATACTTGACAGAGACCAAATATTGCAATAGAGTATACAAAACTAGCCGCCAATAACCCTCTAGGGTAGACGCGATTACAAATAAAAAAAAAAGTTTGACCTCTGTTAAATCTCTGCATTTTGCACTTAGTGGAGGTACATTTGAAATATTATAAACCAGAGTAACGAGTGTTAAAGTTGAAACAAATATATATATTTTTTATTGAAAGGAGGTGGCCTGGATTAGCGATCATAAAGAGAGTAAAATAGTGGAAAAACTATTTTATTTCAAGCCAACGTTTCGAACCGACTTTGCAGGTCTTCTTCAGGGCTAGAACGGACAAGATACAAAAGGATATAAAAAATTGTGGAAGTTACATAATATTTAGATTTAAATTATAAACAGTAAATACATTGAAATATTAAGAATAATAAACTATAAAAACAGAGTAAACAAAGTTACAAGATCCTAAACTGAAGTAAATAAATAGTAGCAATGGTTGTAGTATAATATAATATATGCAATTATGAATATATTCCGACATATCTCGAGGAGAGATTGGAATAAAAGGAAAAATAATATGAAATATTAGATATGAAGGGAAGAAAAAATATATAAAAAATAAATCAAATAAAAATAAAATATATTTTTTTTTTTATTGATGATATTTACAACTGTATTACAAGTAAAAATACATTCAGTAAATGTGAACAAAGGAATAAAATAGCATGGAATCACTTGTTGAGAAACTACCCATTGGTAGCACTCTAAAAATGTATTTACAAAAGGAGATCTCGAGGCCATCTTCTTTTCAGACGCCTCTGAGGGTTGTCAGGGATCGAAGAGGAAGCAAGGTTAGAAACGAGAGGGTTTGGATGGTTCTGAAGTTTGTTATGGAAGGATAAGTATCTGGATTGGGGCAGGTCAGAAACATAAGGAACATAAAGGTCGTTGTGGACGATTTTGTTTGTGATAAAGTAAGGAGCAGTGAGGAATTTACGAAGGATTTTGGATTGTAAGGATTGGATACGAGAGGAATTCGATGGCTTCGTGGAGCCCCAGAGCTCAACTCCGTAAGTCCAAATAGGTCTTATGTATATGTAGTCATGTATATGAGTCTTTTGTAATTGACTGGGAGGTTAGAGCGTTTGTCTAGTAAGTGCTGGAGTAGTCGGAAACGTCGAGCTGTTTCTTGTCGTTTCAGTCTGGTGTGAGGATTCCAAGTTAGACGTTTGTCTAAGTGGAGTCCAAGGTATCGAATTTGTTCAACAGTTAAAGTGGGGTATTATTAAAGGACACTGTAGGACAAGAGGACATAGGTTTACGACAAAGGGTAAAGGTGATTTGATGGGATTTATTGGATTTTATTTTTATTCTCCAGTTTTGACACCATTCTTTAAGGTTTGTGATGTGTGATTGAAGGGTTTGGTATTAACAATTGTTGGGTCGTTATTAACTGATAGGACACATGTATCATCGGCATATGTGGTAATGACTGTGTTAGAATGGGTTGGGATATCAGCTGTATAAACTGTGTAAATGATAGGACCTAGGATACTACCTTGAGCAACACCAGCGGACTGGTAAAAAAGGGATGAATAGGCATTATTATGATTTACTTTGAAGGATCTATCAGTAAGATAGGAACGGATAATGAGGTAGTATGTAGGGTGTAGGAATTTACGGAGTTTATAAAGCAGTCCTGGGTGCCAGACTCGATCAAAAGCCTGTTCTACATCGAGAAAGACTCCCGTGCAGTACATTCCGGGCTCCAATGCAGAGGAGACAACATCCACCACACGATGGCATTGCTGGATAGTGGAATGGGATCTGCGGAATCCAAATTGATGATCTGGGATAATGTGATTAGAATCTAGGATGGGGTACAGACGTTTTAGGATGAACTTTTCCAGGAAAAAAAATAAAATAAAAATAAAGTAAAAAGTAAAAACATAACAAAACCTGGAATATTACAATATCTAAAATTTAAAGATATCGATGGATACAAGATAAAATAAGATATATATGAACTAAAAAATTAAAATATACAAATAAAATAGAATTAAGGAATTATAGATAGAAGTACAATATGAATAAAACCAAAAATGAAAGAAGTAACACGTACATAGAAGTAAAATGTAAATATAAAAATAAGAGGCCATACATTGCAGAACTAATTTAGAAGTATAGAGAAGAAACAAAATATGAATAATTATAATTATAATTAGTTGTACATATTGAAAGAATATTACATTTAAATATTCGATAATATTAAGACATAATGGTTAAAAGTACAATGAATACAAAACGAAAACGGATGGTCGTACATTAATGTAGAATGTAAATATAAAATTAAAAATAATCTCCTTCCATCTCGAATTCCATATTGAAACGCCTCTGCAATCAAGTTGACTGAAGGGATTCCTTTTTCAGCGAGTTTTATAAAAGTATCCATCTTTGATGATTTGTTCAAGTGAGGTTATTATTGTTAAGATGGCCGCTACTGTGACTGTTTTGAATTGCATTCCCACCAATAAGATTAAAGAAAAACATAAAGTGAATAAGCCTTCTTACTATGCTATCTAGCCCAACGGATTGCTTGGTTATTTATGAGGAGCATCTGCGGAGGATTCAAGACCGTGATTATGTCGTTACGACTTAGCTTGCTTGCTCTAACCATCGTGGAAAGGATGGCTTGTCTTTAAGCAACTAATCTTTAATAAATAGGTTAAACTATACGGTAAGAAACGGATAGTTAAATTAAAGATCAATAAAAGTGAGCAGGATAAAAAATTAATAAAATTAAAGTTTGAGATAATGAAAAGGGTGTAGTTCATTTTAACAGCGTCTTCATGATCTTGAAAAGAGGTTTGAAAACTGGAGAATTAAAATTAATAGTAAAAAATCCACCCACGTTAGTTTCTCTCTTAGGAAAGCCTCATGCCCACCCATAACGATTGCCAATAATCCAGTGCCTTCAAAGAACTATGTACGGAACCTTGGACTCTACTTAGACAAAAGACTTACTTGGAACATACATACGAAATTAAAAAGACAAGAACTTACTTGACGATATAGCCAACTTTCACATCTTCTGGACTACAGATCTTCACTTAACTTACGAAACAAGCGACTTAACTACAACACCTTACTGAGACCAATATGGAAATATGGAGCAGAACTTTGGGGTTCAGCAAAACAAACACACATTAACAAAATAAAAACAGCACAATCAAAAATTTTACGAAAAATTGTTAACGCACCTTGGTACATTTCAAATACTACTATACATAACGACTTAAACACCCCAACAGTAAAATCCTACATCCACGACAAATACACTACATTTCATTCTTCAACTCAAAATAACTCCAATCCTCTGGTTCTTTCTATCTCCTACTCCCTGTTACCTGAGCAACGAAGATTAAGAAGAAAATGGCCAAGAGACCTACTACATCAATAAAAACATCAACATAAAAAAAAAATCAAGCATTTACACCAAGACAATAAAAACACAACAAATTTGCTAGATGCGCAGCTGCGCAGGTGCAACTTGCATAAATTAAAATATAAATAAATAAATAAATATTTCTACTTTTTAAAATCTCTGTTGTGCGATATTTCATCAGCAAATACTGCAATTCTAGTTTAATGAACATAAAAGTGGGCGTGGTTCGGGCTACAAAATACTTTATGAATTTCGTGGCTTTCCTCTTAATTATATCAGTATTATACTTTTAAAAAATAGTATTTAATTGTACATTTAATAGTACACATTTAGTAGTAAAATACTGGCATCTTTAGATAAAAACTTTACCATATCACCTGTATATTACATTTAGAGCAATATTAAACTTAAATAAAAAGACTAAAGAAGATCCTTCCTTAATGGCACCTGGCGCAGGGGGTTTCCTAAAGACCAGAACGGATTCATATGACACGAAGGAATTTCTTTCATCCGGGTATCCTCCTATGGAATCCAATATAAACTCGGGTTCTATTGTTTCCTAAAAGAAGGTGGGGGAGCTCTCTTCCATTGAACGGGGCAGACAATGACATCAATAATTAGCAAACCATTGAGCTGGTTAATGAGGACGGTATTGTGAATTATTACTATTGTGGCCAGGAGGAGGGAAACCTGTCGACAATGGCCAAGGTCGAGCGAGTAGGGCAGTCATCAGCTACTCCATCCAGTCTTCGGCGGGCCGCCACCTCCGCCGCTCCTCCTCACAATGGCCGGTCACCGGAGGAAAATAGAACAAGAACCGATCCGATTGTGATGGGTCGGCCGCTCTAAATGAAGGCATGTGCCTCCCGATCATTGAAGAACATCCTCTAAGGAATGGTAATATTCCATTGATTCCATTGTGTCTCTGATCGAGAATTACCAAGAGCAGTGTATGGACTGAAGCGTACTTATAATTACAACTCAGTTTAATAATTATTGGTATTGTTTATTTGACTTCTTTATTTTGGTTAAGATTTATATGGTTTATTATACCGAGCTGCAGGTAAAGACCGTCAGCCCGTTGAATTTCATCTCGTACACTAGAGTTGCCCAAATGTGAGACTGAGACAATTCTTGATCTTGCGAACTCATTCTTGGGCATGTTCTTGGTCTTGCGCATGAGTCTCGCAACAGTCTTGCAGGTATTAGGTTATTAGCTTATTACTAATAATTAAACTAATAATAAAATACTAGTATTTTTTTAGATAGGAGAAACCTAAGTCCGAATAAAAAATTAGAGGAGTTAAATGCAAAAGAATATTGGTTATATTAATTATTAACATATAGTAACTAAAATTGTCGGGTATTAGTAACTATTTTGCCTTAATTTTTATTTAAAAAATCGATTTTATTTACCTGTCCTGGTCTTGGTCTTGCAACCGTTAGGTGGCCTTGGTCTTGGTCTTGCAAAGTGCAACACTATCTGACACCAAAATTCAGTCAGCTAGATGGATTAAACGTGACTCGGTGGTCTGATGTCATTAGTCAGTTTTTATCCTCAAAGCTAACGCATATCGTAGTATATAGACTTCAATGTAGATTTATGATTGCGAAAATTTTTATCTACCCTCGTCTCGATCCATGACGGCTCCATCTTCATTTTTCTCAGCTGGTTTTGAAACGGTGATTGTTTTTTGTTTTCGAATTTCTATGTACATCATGATTGTTAATATTCTTTAATTAGAGCTTTTCACACATTTACACGAGTCTTAGATCTAACACCTCTTCATTTTAAACCCTATTTATTACTTGCCTCGACATTTTCATAGTCAGGTTCGTTATGTACCTATTACCAGATCTTGGTATTAGCAATAATGAAGCAATTAGCATTTAAAGGAAACTAAATAAATATTAATTGGGGTCCTAGAATCAAAAGGCGCTATATAAGTGCATATTTTGAAAAAAATATACATAAATAGTGCAAGGTTGATCTGGGAATTGGTCAATCTACTTCAAAGTTCGGAGGTATACATACCTGTTCTGCCAGTGCTGCGTTGTAGTGAACATTCACTTAAGTTCCAAATTAATAGACAGATATATCAATAGATCCGAGATAACACGGTAATTTTTCGAATTATTTTAACATATTAAATTTATTTGGTACTCGGGTGGTCCAGTAAGTTATAAATTTTAAAAATACTGTCAGCATAAAGACCGCACTTATTCTTAAAATCATTAATATTTTCATATAAAGGGCTTCCGATATCGATGGACTCCAACATCGAACAAATTCAAAAAGTTACAATAAATAGATAGGAATGGCGATATCTAAAAATTATTATTATAATCATATAGGAGCTCCTTGGATAGACCAATAATCAACCTCAATGAGGCATTCGTTATGCGAATTATTTTTTTTTATCATTATTAATATATTACTTGGTTGTGATGGGTTACTAGTGCAACTCATAGTTTTAAAAGTAATTTAATACATTTTCAAATTTGGTAAACATCCATTTCAACTGTCAGAGTTCGTTTAGGCTTACTGAAAGACTAATAAAAAATAAAGCCCATCTGTATAGAAAAAATATATTCCGATTACAGAAGGGATTTAACTTTAACCATCGTTTATTCAAAACTTAGTTTTGGTCACTTATGCCCTCTTGCAATGAAATTTTAAACTTACAATTCTTAGCTGTTAGCTGCAGTAGAGTTGATGAGGCCCGTGGCGGATTATTGTTTGAGGCCCCCTACCTAATAAATAAAATTTTATATTTTTATTAAAAGAAAAAATTTGCTGTAATAAAAAAATAAAAAATAACAGGCTTCTCATTAACAGATCATTTCTTTGTCCTTGTTTATTCTTTATGGGCCCACGTATATTTGCGCAACAGTGGTTTGCCTACAGCTCTCCCACCCAAACTTAATTAATATATTCCATTTATGTATCGCTTGATAAATGACATCCGCAATGATCCTTACAAATGAACATTCCGCTACATGAAAATCATTTAGCAGTAAATTCTTTTCAGAATTTAAGAATAGAATAGCTGAGGTAGAATACAATTGATGTATGCTATATTAATTTTTTTAAATAAGAGTATACGTTTTTATATCCTTTTTTGCCCTATATTTAGTGAGTAAGGTGTGGTTGAGACGGATGATTATTTAATATGTTACATCAGATTTACTCTAGGGCCTGAACACCCTCCTTGGGCTCACTCAGCCTTTATGAAATGAATACTCTTAATAATGTGAAAAATCTGGTTGAGCTGGACCTATGTAAAAAAAAAACAATACTCTCCTGCAAAGTAGCTCTACTCTCTTAATAAAGCTACTAATGTTTAAAGTTCAATTTTTATTAATTCATCTACTAATTAATTCATACTGGTAAACAAGGACTAGTTACTAAAGTTATATATTTGTATTTTTTATTTTTATTTTTTTGTAAAAGCTTTGGGACAACTTTTAATTTCGCGATGTACAAATTAAGTGGCAGGCCCACGATAGAAATTCATCATTATTTTTTTCGAAATAATTTCTACTATCGAAAAATCATTTTAAAAAATAGCTGTATGGGATATGTTTACCAGAATATATTAACACTAGTGAACCATTGTGAATAAATTGCCATTCATCGGTTAGGAGGGAATTAAATTATCTCGTGAGAAATCAATCTATTTAAATAGTTAGATTATCGATTTATGACAATTTCGACCATAGGCAAGATAATATTTCTCCCAAATACTGTTGTCGCCTTGAAAGTTTCCCTACCACTAATCACTACTGATTGAGTATTGCCAAATATTTTCAAGATACATTCCTAATAAAACTCAATACTTCAAGTTCGTAGCTTTGCTGGAATACTGTATGTGACTTCTAGTATATTAATAAATCCTACGAGTCCGTTTTTAAGTAATCAAAAAATTATTTAATAAAAAATCTAACTGGTCAAAATTACTTTTCACAATAGTTTAATTGAACAAGAATTGTTTCCGGAGTCTTTATTTTTCTTTTTTGTTTGAAAAGGCAGTTCCTACACTTTCACTGCTCTATTTATTGAAGATTACATTTCAAAAGGGAGATCCCCAATTACACAACAAGCCAAGGGGAAGGCCTATTTCTTTTAATGTTTGAGCTTCTTGGTAAATTACTATCACCTGGCTTTTAAAAATGACGACTAAGGCTGATTAAGAACACTTTTATTAATATTTAACTATTATTATTTCCATATTTGTCTATTAATCAATACATCTACTAATTAACAAAAAACTTTTTTTTTCTTTTTACAAACTCCAAAATGTTAAAAGTCGCATTCAATATTAAAAATCTCCCTGCTTACACCAGGTTGGATAGTGCAGTGTGTTAAAAACTGTACTTAGGACTAAGTTCAGGTCAAGTTTTGGTTATTCAAAATATTTTAAAGAAAGTGTTTTAAGAATAATAAATAGATATTACTGTTTTTTTATGTTTTTTAATTTACTTATCTTTAGGTTATTTTATTTTATTTTTTTACTGTACATAGTTTTTAATTATTATTTTACTTTTGTTAATTTTATATTTTCTGTGTTGTTTTTTTCATAGTGTGAAAGTGTTCATATATCACTATAATTATTGTCCACGAGACAGGTTGTAATATTTCTCAATGAATAAAAAAAAAAAAATAAAAATAATAATAAATACATTTTTATTTGTTTATGAATATTTAGGGTGAAAAAATAAGTCCAAAAAATGGTTAACTGTCGTTAATTGATTGCTTACAATTTTTTATGGTTAGAATCTAAAATATCCATTCTCATTTTACGTTTTGATCGCCAAAGAAAAAAGTCCAGTTCCTAATTCCAAAGATGGACCTTGCAACCTCTAACACTCCATCGGTCCACCGCAGTCTCGGTTTTCCAATTATTCTCTTACCTTTCTTCCAAACAAGCAACATGGCCTGCCCAACGAAACCTTCCAATCCTTATGAATCTGACGATATTTGTATAATTATTCATTATTTCTATCTCAGCATTAGTTCTTTGAAAAATAGTGAGAAAATAAATTACTATTTGAATATAATGTGATTTTTTTAAAGTTTTGTATCGGATAATTCTAATCGGTTTTAATTAAAATTGGATTTTTAAGTAAAAGTGCATGCGTATATCCGTATCTTTTAATATATATAATAAAAATGGTACTAATTTAAATGGCAGACGTTTTTCACCTGCTTGAAATGTTTTCCACTGAATATGTTTATGAATTGCGCCCCACCTACTCTGCGATGAGAACAATATGTATTTCTGAGGATATCTAACACAGGTGGGGACTCTACAGAAATGCACTGTTCTTGAGTAATTTCCTTTCAAACGGGTTTCGATTGTCCAGTTATCAAACTTAAACTTCTCATTATGTAATACCGCTGCCGCAAATGTTGCAGTGGTTTACCGCTTTAAGGTTGATTCTTGTTCCGAGGGAGCAATGCAAAACTAAGGCTACGTTGCACCAGACTTAAGTAATAAATGGTTTTCTTAGGTTTATACGAGCAGGTCCTTAATTAATACCTCGATTGCCCTTATTTGTAATTAATTAATAGGTGCCACGGTTAGCAAGGTGGTAAAGCCTGTTGGATTTCCGTTGCATCACCAGTGAGCAGAATTATTCTCATATTTTCGACAAAAAGAACTATTAGTCAGTTGTATAGACACCTTTTTATCAAATTATTAAATTCCATCAAATATTACGTGAATGGCATTATCTTTTCATTGGTTAAAACTTTTAACCTACGAAAAATCCCAGAAGTGGGGCTTTTCGCTTTAAGGTAATTAATTTAATGAGATAATAAAAACTCACGAATACCGGTTTAATTTTCATTGAATCATAAGATAATCTTATCAC